TGCATAGTTGTCCTTGAGATAAGCAATACATTCTGCTTTACAAAGATCCAAGATCTCCACATTCATATGAATGCTTTAAAATTGATAGATATTTACTCCAGTTCTGACATTCTTTTTAGCATCACAGACATGCTGAAGTTAGTACAGATGTGTTTGACAATTAGTCTAGACATTTTGTCCAATCTACTCAACTCCTGATTGGATCACTTTCCAAGGAACACAATAGAAATAAGAAAAACTTTATTAGAGACCAGAAATTAAGCTCTTGTAGAGTTGAAAGCAAAAAATAAATTGCTCTTATCTTGCTTCAATGGCTTGTCACTTTCATGCCAAACCGCTAAAGAAAGGACCTGAGAATCTTCTTCTTGATCATCTTTACATGTGATCACTTTTCTTCCAAACACACTTAAATGTACCTTTATGAGTGGAATTTAGAAATTTCCCATGTATCTTAGGCCACAATGTAAGTGATGTATAGTCTTCTAAAACACTAGGATTCTTCCAATCCGATAAACTCCGCAGTCCTACAGTCCATTGATCACCATAATGGTATCACTCTAGCTTTTGCAAAATACACATAATACCATAAATATATCTCCCTGAAAATTCACCCAATAGACAAGGGTGTCTGCTCTAATACTAATTGAAATTATGGTACATGCAACACATACAAACAAAACTATCTTAACAGCAGATGATGTCGAGATAAATGTTACAACATCTGGTAACATACCAGATCAATCAAGTTGAATATGATACAGAAAATAAAACTACAAAATGATAAATAACACAATCAGTTGTTAACCCATCTTGGTGCAACATCACCTACTCTGGGGGCTACGAAGCTAGGAAGGAAGTCCTCTATCAACAGTATTAGTTCAAAGCTAAACTCCCCCGTTTACAACTTCTCGCCTAATCCCTACCCAATGAAACTTCTAACCAGGTCCTCCCGAAATATGAGAAATCTCCATCTCACTTCCTAAATCACCTCAGTGAAATCTAACAATCACAATCCTAATAACTGCAATAAATACAACCCAATTTAGAAGATCATACTTCCATTATAATAACTCAAACTCTTGCTTAAAAGCTTCGAGTGAGAATAATACTCAACTCATTGCCTAAAGGCTTCTGAGTGAAAAAATAACTTGACTAACAGTCAAGCAACAATCAGTCGACCACATAGTATCAAAAGATACATGGGTGACTTACAAACTACACAAGAGACTCTCAAAACCTAAGACTTATGCTCCCCCTAATTTTACAATTGTGAAAAACATAAATTACATTTGGTTAGGATTCTCCTTTAAATACAACTTTGTAGTCCATGGGCTTCGATATTCTGAGTCCAAAAAATTCTTGATCCATAAGCTGAGTGATGTATCTGTTGTGCAGAAAAATCTCCTTAAATATTGGAACAACCATTACAAAGTTTCCTAAATTGTCTCAAGGATCTAATTTAGTAACTAATGTACAGCTGGAGCCTGAAGATAAAACCTTGTTCCAGATAAAATCTTCTTAACCTGTAAAATTAACTAAAATATATCCAAAAGAAATATTCCAAAATTAAATCAAATCTGTCAAGATTTAAAACAGCAGTGACTACTGTACTGCAGAACCAAATCAGGATGTCATGACATATGCCTTCGACATCTGACTGAAAACACATATCAGTAAAACTGTTATGACAGTTGATAAAGATGTTGCACATCTTACTCAACAACAACATAGAACCATGTTCAAAAACATGCATATCCAAAGTTTAGCCTACCATAAAAACATGGAACTAGCAACCTTGAATGTTCTGTTTCTTCCCTACTCATATTGCACAACCAGCTTCTAATTGCAGTCATAAAACTTCAAGATATTATTCTTCATGATAACTAAGAAACCTTTCTCAATGAGTTGGCCTACACTCATCAAAGTTATCTTCATACCAAACATCTTTGATTAGAACGATTCTTCCATTCTCCACTGACTTTAACTTCCCCATACTTTCTGCATTAAAGTATTTATCATCAGCACATCTGATCTTTTTCCTCTTTCTAGAGTCAAAATCAATCAACCATTATTTGTTTCCAGTTAGGTGATTTGAGTAGCCAGTGCCCATACACCACCAGTCTACCAAATACCTACCATCAGACTCAAAAGTCATCAATAGCATATGTTTATCATCATAATCTCCTCTCGATGTGTTTGCTTCTTCTGACTTCCTTTCCTAGTGTAACCAATAGTCCTTATCAAAGGGACCAAACCTATTACAACAGTAGCATTAAAAATTTCTATTGTCTAGCTTCTCCTTTCCCTTCTGATGTTTCTTCTCACCAGAGTTAAAGGATTCTGACTTTTGAGAACCACCATGTCTTTTCTTGGCCTCTGACCAAGACTTCTTCTGGTCCTTCTTGATAAAAGAAGCTTTCAGAGCCTACTCAGACTCTCTTTCAGAGTTACACTTATTTAGACGCAACTCTTGTGCGTCTAATCTAATTTAAAGCTCTTCAATTTTCATGGTGCTCAGATTCTTAGAATGTTCAACTATTGTAACAATGTAATCAAATTGAGGGGTAAGATATCTCAATACCTTCTCAATAATTAATTTTTCATATAGAGTTTCTCCACAAGATTTCATCTTATTTGTGATCAAAATCACTCTAGAGATATAATCAGGTACTTTCTCATTGTTATTCATGTTGAGATTCTCATAATGCTTACGTAGAGACTGAAGCTTTACCTTCTTTACTGACGCAATACCATTGTAACATCGTGCTAGTATACCCCATACAACCTTTGCCTTCGTTGAATCATCAATTTTCTCAAACACAATTGCATACATACATTGATGGATGTAGAATAATGCTTTATGATCTTTATTCCTTATATCTCATTACGTGTTCTCTATTCCTCCATCGCATCTGCTGCAACTGGAACATAACCTTCAATGACGAGATCAAGATTATCTTGAGCACCAAAAAATACACGCATTTGAATCATCCACTGATTCCAATTATTTCCATCAAACACTAGAAGTTTTGTTTTCAAACTATTTTCGTCGTTCATCTTCGTTCTTGTGCACTGAATCTTAAACTCATGTCTCACCAAACACTCGTATTTCTAAATCTTACAAAATCAAGAAATTCAATTATGTTACGATTTCGATCATGAATTTAACGCGAATTCAAGAAAAAAGAAATAAATTACACATGCCTCACGTACACTCGTGTTCCATGCGAACCAAACTGGAGCTCTAGATACCAATTGATGGAGCACAAGGTTGAAGATGAAGATGAAGATGAATATGGAATAAGAGTAAGAAAGAGAAGAGAGAGAAATCGATTAGAACAAACTTTTTGAGAGAGAAACTCTATTCACTACATTGATGAAAACTAGCTACAAACTTGTTTAAATACACAAAGGATAAGCCACCACGTAGGCACAATCTAAATCTAAACAATAAAACTAAAATTCCACGTGGGTAAACAACTACTAAACCCGGAAGCTTAGACACAACTTCTGGAACAACAACGCAATTTCAGAAGCTTATGCTTCTGAGTCAAAACACTTTCTGATCATTACCTTCTGAAAATGAATTACGTCTAATAGGTTTTGTGTGATGTATGATAATTTTTTAAAGTTTATTGTATGGAAGAAGGATGTGCAACCATTTGACCTAATTATCATGATCAAAAAGTATTGTTGAAGTTCTGAGATTGTTGTTGTACCCCAAAATTTTCCCTCCTATCTTTCTTTTGTCTGGCTTATGTTTCACATTTCATCAGCATAACATACATGCATCCATAAAGCACTTTGGTTCAAAAAGATCGGCAATATTAAAGTTTTACAGCATTTGAGATGTACATGTCCCATAAAGTCTGATTTCTCAGATTTCTTCTGCAAGTAGTGAAACGTGCAAATTAGGGTTTCTATGGACTCTGAGGATCTCATCCTATTCAAGGGCAATTCTCCATCCAATTTCATCAATGGCAGAGGCTATTATGGTATATTTCCCTATGTGCAATCAAAGTCAGTATTTCTCGTCTGTTATGCTTCAATTCAAGATTATTGGTTAAGTTTTCTTCAAAGTACTTTAACATGGAATCTTATGAATCCTGAACAACAGCCTTATCTTTGAATCTCAAGCTCTACCTTCTTCAAGGTTTTTCTCAAGACATGACCTATAATTAGGCATGATCTTCTCAAGTCTCATTTATCATCATCTGATCATCAGAAGCTCAAGTTCATTAATTGTTTGCAAGAAATGTTCATCATAACGCCTGAATGCGCGTAAAAGGTTAAAGTTACAAAAGTTAAAGTTTCTCAGATTAAACTCGATCTTACTTATAATCCATGTTTTCTAAATTCAAATTATTGGATTATTTAGTAGTTTTGATTCAATCGTCTGATTAACTTTGATATTTTTTCTTTAAATCGATTCAAGTTTTAAGTGGTGGTCAAATTCAATTTTAATTGAATTTCTAACAAAGATTCAATTTAAAATTTAGTTTGGTTATGTTAAAGAAAATCATCTATTTCTATCTTGATATTATTTGATTCAAATTTTGATTTTAATTCAATTTAAAATAATTTCTTTTTAAATTGAATTATTATTAAAATAAAACCAAAACTAAAATCATTTTAAGCTTTTTTTATTTCCAATTTTTGCATTTTAATCTTTCATACTTTGTTATTACTAATATTTTTTTTAATTTTTATTAGGCTTAATTGCAACTTTAGGTCCCTCATTCAATTTGGTGTTTATTTTCAGTGACGTGGCATTGAATATTTTATCCATGATAATGTCAAAAAAAATTGATTCCAATGGGTTTCGAACACAGGAATAGCACAATAATACTTTGTACCAATAGCCAAACCATTACACTAACACTTTCAAGTTGTAATTAATTCCCTCATAATTTATTTATAACAACTATAGAAATGAGAAATTTGTTCAATGTAGGCGTGATCTTGGCAGCAACTCCCCAACCATATTTGTCAAATATATATTAACTTAGAAGCATCATTATGAACGTGGCAATTCCAGTTGCAGTCGAGAAGTCACCCATGAAAGAAGAGTACTCGTTGGGGCTAGGAAACTGCAATTTACAATGTTTTGTGAGAAAATAAAAAAAGACGTCGCAAAATGGCATAACGAGTTTTAAGACCAAAACTAAGACAAGATTAACTTGTTGGCATATTTATTACCTGAGCTTTGAGCTTAGACTTCCATGTAACCTCAACAAGATTAATATTGATTCCATAAGAAACCACTAAAGTGGCAAGATCTCTTATGTATCTTGAAGACACCAAGAGTTTCAAGCTCTCCATTATTCTCATTTTAGGCTTCTTCTGTAAAAACGAATAGCAATGTAAAATGTTAGTTAATAGGTTTCGGAATAGTTATTTTATATAAGTCTACAGAAAATAGCAGGTACCTTCTTCTTCACACTACATTCTGGAAGAGGAACAGAATTATTCGTCCACCAGTACAGGCCACAAATTGCAAATCCCATAAGCACGACAATGTTCATCACTCCCTTTAAAGAAATGGCCCAACCACCAACACCGGGACCTAAGTTCTTCCTCATATTAGAAAAGTACTTCACGGTACTACTAGAAAATATAAGAGCTACATTGAACAAATTCTTCTCATTTTTATAGTTGTTATAAATAAATTTTGAGGGAATTAATTACAACTTGAAAGTATTAGTGCGGTAGTTTGGCTCTTGGTACAAATTATTGTTGTTCTAATATTCTTGGGTTTGAAACCCGTTGGAATCCATTTTTTGATATTATCATTATTTCATAAAAAATGAACAAAATAATTATAATTATAAAAATAAAAAAAGAATTAAAAAAATGACATGGATAAAATATTCAATGTCACCTCAACTAAAATTGTGACACGTCACTGAAAATAAGCGCCAAATTGAATGAGGGACTAAATTCAAACACAAAGTGGGAGGATCAAAATCAAGAAAAAAACTAAATAGAGAGACCAAAGTTACAATTAAACCTTTTTATTATTATTACTAACATTTGTTTCTTTTTCTTTGTTTATTGTTATTAGTATTGTTACTACTTTTATTTGTGTCAAAAAGAAAAAATAAAAGAAATTGGGACCATCACAAAAGCATACACGTTTATGATGATTTTTTCATGATTTTCACAAGTCCAGTAATACAACAAGGTTCAAAATTTCATTCATTCAAAACAACACTTACAAGCCATCCCAACCATCCATTTAAACACTACCAATGGCCATCCTTCCAAACAAATTCATGCGGATTCAACTCCAAACTTTATCCAAATTTTCAACCAAGATTCCAACTCACTCCAAACTCTATCCTCACCCTCCATCTAAATTGATCAAGGGCCAACAATAAACTCAAAAAGATTGGCACAGATTCATCTTATTCTTGCCTCCAAACCTCACAAAATTTCCATCTAAAATTTCAAATACTCCCTCTCAACGATTTAATTCTCCCACACTTTTTTCACTAAAATTTAAAAAACTCCCACACAAATTTTCATCTTGCTTCAATATAAATAGCTTGCTTCGAATCAGAATCAAGGGGGGAAGAAAAAAAGAGGAGAAAAAATTGTTATGCTGTCAAGGTAACTTGCAAAAGCTTCCCCCAAGCTTCATATTCAATACCTTCATCTGTTGGAACAAAGGATTCAAGAAAGATGATATTATGAAAGCAAGAAGAAGAAGAAGAAGAAGAAGAAGAGAGAGAGAGAGAGAGAGAGAGAGAGAGAGAGAGAGAGAGAGAGAGAGAGAGAGAGAGAGAGAGAGAGAGAGAGAGAGAGAGAGAGAGAGAGAGAGAGAGAGAGATAGATAGATTGAGAGAGAGAGTATTGATGACTTAGTTATGTGTAACTAACTATCTAAACTGAATTGCATTATTGTTGCTTACTATTACAAACACAATGGCCCTTTATATATGAAAAATAGCCCTGGCTCAAATACATGATAAAAAGCCCAAATAACTATATAACAAGAATTAACCAACTAATACACTCCCTTAATTCATGTTATCAAGACTTCTCATCCCAATGCCTTTCTTTAACTCTTCGAACCTCACTTTCTTCAGAGGTTTGATGAATATGTCAGCTAGTTGCACTTCTGTCTTGCAATGTTTTATTTTAAGCTTCCCTTTGTTGACTTGATCCCTCAAAAAATGATACCTTCTTTCAATGTGCTTACTTCTACCATGACACATTGGGTGATTTGTAAGGTTTATAGCTGACTTGTTATCAACAAACAACTTCATCTTCGACTCCATTATTCTGAGTTCCTCAAGTAGAATTTCGATCTATGCTGCTTGGCATGCAGCATATGATGCAGCCACATATTCTGCTTCGCATGATGACAAAGCTACAATGCTTTGCTTCCTCGAACTCCAGGAGATTGAAGCTCATTTGATTATGAAAATGTATCATGCAGTACTCTTCTTTTCATCTTGATCTCCACTGAAGTCTGAGTCACTGTATCCATGAACTTCGACATATGTGTTGTTCTTCGACATCTTTGGTAACAACACACCATGATCAATAATTCCATTTATATATTTCAACACCCTCTTTACTACAATGAGATGACATTCTTGAGGCTTCTCCATAAATATGTTCAACAATCCTACACTTTGGTAGATATCTGGTCTAGTATTGCAAAGATACCTCAAGGATCCAATGATTTGTTTGTAAAGGGTCGAACTTACAAACTCATCATTCAATTCCTTCTTCAGCTTTGCTCCAATCTCTAATGGAGTAACAGTTTCCTTACAGTTTCTCATATTGAACCTCTTCAGTATATCTTGAGCATACTTCGTTTGATACAAGAAAACTCCTTCTTCGACGTCTTTGAATTCCATTCCCAGGAAATATGAGAGATTTCCTAAATCTGACATTTCGAATTCCTGCATTAACATTGACTTTACCTTCATTATCTCAGCTTCGTCTGCTCCTGTAATGAGTAAGTCATCAACATAGAGGCATAAAATGATTCAATTTACACTTTCGACATCATTTACATACACTCCATGTTCAGAGACACACTTTGTAAAACTTGCTTCGATTAGGAAGTTATTTATCCTTTTATTCCAAGCTCTAGAAGCTTGCTTCAAGCCATAGAGAGCCTTCATTAATCTGTAAAATTTTGACTCCTGCCCATTCACGTTGAAGCCTGGTGGTTGAGTAACATATACTTCTTCTTCTAATGGACCATTCAAAAATGCTGACTTCACATCAAGTTGGTGCATTTTCCATCCTTTACATGCAGCTATCAAAACAGTAATCCTGATTGTTTTGATCCTTGCAACAGGCGCATATACTTCATCAAAGTCAATACCAGGTTTTTTTAGAAAACCTCTAGCCACTAGTCTTGCCTTATACTTTGCAATCACACCATTTGGCCATTGTTTCACCTTGTAGATCCATTTCACATCGATTGGTTTCTTGTTGGTTCTTTCGACAAGCTCCCAAGTCTTGTTCTTCTCAATGGCTCTAAGTTCTTCTTTCATGGCTTCACACCAATTCGAATTGCTCAAGGCTTCACCCAAATCAATTGGTTCAGCTCCAGCCATCATCATGGCTTCTTCGATTAAGTCACCATCTGCATGGATTACTTAATCTGGAAACCTCTCATATCCAATCAGCCTAGTCGACTCAGTTCTTGTTCTTGTGGATCTTCTTTCATTTTTCACAGGTGGTTCTTCATTTCAACTTGTCGAAGCTTTGTTCTCTTTATCTTCTTCAAACACAGTTGTAACTGTGTCGGATTCACGTCGAACTGAACTTCGACTCCAATCCCATCCTTTTCTTTCATCTACAATAACATCTCTATTGATCACTAGTTTATCTTCAATTGGTGAATACAACTGTGATACGGTGGGAGAACTAACTTGATTATTTTGCGTTTTATCGCAAATCTTGCGGTTAGCAAGAGTCGCAACTGACTTTGCTTTTATCCAAAAGGAAAGGTGAAAAACCACAACAAAGACCTTTGATATTGTTTCTTGAGTTCGGGGGGTAGATTATGAAAAGGGAAGGTATTAGCACCCTTTTCATCCATGGTTTTCCATGGGCTCTTAGTTACTTGCTAGATAACTTGCTTTTTGTTTTGAAATTATGCTTTGTATGGTTTTGAAAGTATTTTGTAAAAGAGACCATTGTTTAGGCAATCTTTGTAATGATTCTCGTTCGTAAGAATGTATACAAGGATGTTTGTCTTTTTGAAGATATTTTCAATGTTTGTAAGATGTTTTTGAAATGTGTGTGTTGTTTTGGAAAATAGCAAGGATAGTTGTTTTGAAGTGGAGCAAGTAACTAGAGGTAATCTACCTACTCAAATGTATTTCTTATGCATTTTATATTCCTTTGACATTGTTGTCTTACCATTGATTTGGTAAGAAACCCTATCTTTGGATGTAAACGGGACGAGTGTGGGTCATCATATAACCATGATTAGCAATGTTGCAATCTATCTTAGCATTTTTTGAGGGACTAAGATCATTTTGTAAGGAAACTTAGAATAGCGTCATCGAGGGACTATGATCTTAAATTTTGTTGTTTTGCCAAGATACTTCGTATGCATAATATGGCCATGTATAAGGTAACCAAGTGGAGAAAACCTAAGGATGCTTGTGTGCAAGTGTGTTATTTTCATGCCTTGATTTTGTCTTGGATTTAGGGTTTTCTATTTGATTTGTTTTTATCTTGCCATTCAAACCCTAATTACTAGAATGGTATGTAAAAGTGGTAAATTGCGTAATTTAAAGGTTACTACGCTATTACAATATTATATGGGAGGGGGGGGGGGGGGGGGGGGGGGGAATACAAATTATGAATGGGGACTTGCGACAATGTAAATCTAATTAAGCTATTACAACCAAATCGAATTTGTACAAATGTTAGAATAAATAACATACAAGACAATTTAAATATGCAAAGATATATAAATGCAAGAAAAAGATCTTTGGTTTTGTTTTTTTTATATGAAAAGGAATTTTGAGCTAAACCTAATAACTTATGAAAAGGAGATTAATTCTTCTGAAATAGTTAACCCTAATTTCTCATTTTAAAAGAAAATAAAGTTCTTTAACCATTATTTTTGTGTATTTTTTGTATTGAAATAATAAATAATATTTATGAAAATATTTAGTCTTTTTATATGTCAAAATAAATATTTATAAATGTAAGAAAAAAGAAATAAATAATTAAACTAATTCTATATTTTTTATGTAGAAGTTTATTAAAAAAAAGTATATGTATGATATGTAACTAAAATAAAATATTTTTTATGAGAAAAATAAAATAAAATGGACCAAAAATATAAATTTAGCATTTTTTTTATATTATATTTTTTATGATTTTTAACATTAAGGAAAATATATTTAATAAAATAAAATGAAAATAAAAATGAATAATAAAAATTATGGGCCAGGGGTGCTGCAAGCAAGCAGGGAGTAGTATGTTAGCAAAAAAACGCTAAGGCCCAAGAACCAAGCCCATACTGCCAAAAAATGCCAAAACTAAAGCTGAAAAAAATGAGAAAAATGTAAAAGGTAGCGCCAAGGTTCGAACC